CACGCAGAAGAATTTTGAGTCAGAGATTTTGCTGGTTTTGGCACGCACTCACAAAAAGGTTGCCCACCCCTGACCTAGAATATGCAAAGTAGAAAGTAGAACAGAGATACCAGGGGCTGGGAGGAGGGGAGATGAGGTATTGTTTATTTATTTTTTATTTTTTTAAAATACATTTTATTCATTTTTTTAGAGAGAAGGGAGAGAAACAGAGAGTTAGAAACATCGATCAGCTGCCTCCTGCACACCCCTACTGGGGATGTGCCCGCAACCAAGGTACATGCCCTTGACTGGAATCGAACCTGGGACCCTTCACTCCGCAGGCCGACTCTATCCACTGAGCCAAACCGGTCAGGGCAGATGAGGTATTGTTTAATGGGTACACTGAACAACACTGTTTCTGCTTGGAATGATGGAAAAGTTCCGGAAATGGATAGTGATAATGGTTGTACAACACCATGAATATGCTTAATGCTACTGAATTGACAACCTAACCCATTATACGCCACGAGCATCTGTAGACGCAAGCAGCAGACCTTCCCCACACGCCACGTGCATCTATAAAAAAAAAAGTTTTCCCTAAGTGGCAGCCCAGACCAACTTTAAAATCATTTTTCGTGAGAATTTTCAGCTGAAAATATTCAAGAACACCTGCACTGTGAGTAATATATTAATTTTTATAATATTCATTGCAAATTGATTTTTTACATTAAATTCAAAATATCGTGGTGTGTAGGAATGGTTTCCGTTTTAGACATATGGCAATTAACTGGTTAAAAATGGCTAAAACAGACATTTGATGTTGTGTGTCTGTATATGCACATATTTAATGTATACAGCTTGATGAATATAGAGATAAGTACACACCCATGAAACCCTCATCACAATTAAAGCCATAAATATCTCCATTACCTCCAAAAGCTTGTAATATATATTTTACCACAATATAGCCCCCGAAAAAGTTTGTGGAACATTTAATTCTGAAAGAAAAATACTTATATTTGTAAAAAGAACCCTCTGAGAATGAACACTTACCGCCAATTGAATTTACCATTACAGCTCTGAAATTAAGTTCTCTTTTGTATATATACTTTTTTGTATATATCACTTTTTTTTTCTTAATTGATTTCAGAGAGGAAGGGAGAGGGAGAGATAGAAACATCAATGGTGATAGAGAATTATTGCTTGGCTGCCTCCTGCACACTCCGCACTGGGGATCAAACCCGAAACCCATGAATGTGCCCTGACCAGGAATTGAACTGTGACCTCCTGGTTCATAGGTTGACAACCACTGAGTCATGCCCGGGCTTACCATCTCTTTTTAAGCTTGAGATTTCTTTAAGCCCTGACTTTTGTGATTAGTTCCAGGAAATGGAATTGCATCTGTAACTTTACAGTACAGTGATTTGGAAGGAAACTATTAGGTAAAGATGAAGACTGAAAACTTTAAGAGAATGCATTCCTGTTATGTTTTCAGTAACTATAAACATGCCCTTGTAAGAACATATGCGATCAGACACCTGGAACTCAAAGGTTCAATGCATCTCTTGCAGAATGTAGCCTACAAGCTGTAGAAGCCTTTTAAATGCCAACTGATCCTCGTGATAACTGAATTCAAATTGGCATCCGGAACTCTTGAGGACAGCCAAACTACCATTTTTCTTGGCCAGACAAGTCTTAATTCCACTTTTGATAAGCCTTAAGATTCCTTGTTTGCACCTTTCTCCCTTTATGCCTGCCTAAAGATGAATGAATTGATGACTACTGGATTCTGTTTCCTCTACTGAGGTGAAATTCATGTAATATAGAATGAACCATTTTATCTGCTACATTCTTTTAAAAATATTTTTATTGTTTTGTTTTGTTTTTAGAGAGAGGAGGGTGGGGGGAGAAACATCAATTAATTGCTTCCCATATGCAACCCAACCAGGGACTGAATCCATAACCTAGGTATGTGCCCTGACCGGGAACTGAACCAGAGACCTTTCGGTGCACAGGGTGACACTCAACCAACTGAGCCACACTGGCCAGGGCTATCTGTCTTTATCTTAAATAATGCATATGAAAAATTTATCAATACCACAAATAAATTAATGTTATTTTAAGACACATCACTAAACCTCATATTATCCCGAGGTACCATATTTATTTACTTCCAGTTTATAGTTTGTACGGTGTTATAGCATCTAACCCTCTGGAGAGGGTGCCTCTGTCTGAACTGCATTTGCTTTTAGACCAGCGATGGCGAACCTTTTGAGCTCGGCGTGTCAGCATTTTGAAAAACCCTAACTTAACTCTGGTGCCGTGTCACATATAGAAATTTTTTGATCTTTGCAACCATAGTAAAACAAAGATTTATATTTTTGATATTTATTTTATATATTTAAATGCCATTTAACAAAGAAAAATCAACCAAAAAAATGAGTTCGCGTGTCACCTCTGACACGCGTGTCATAGGTTCGTCATCACTGTTTTAGACTGAGACCTGATCGGGGCAGCAGCAGGCCCATCCGTCCAGTTCCTTCTCTGCTGTTGCTTCGCTCTACCCTGTGAGGGGCAGTTACTCTAGGCGCCAGCCTGCTCTACAGAACAAGAGGTAACTACCCATTGATCTTCAAGAATGCGAAAGCATTTTGAAATCAGTAGACCCCTACAAAAATATAAGGCCACTATCTGGTACATGTGATCAGAATAGAAGGGTAAGTGAAATATATGGGAATAAAATATTACAAATTCAGTCCACTATGCAGTATCAGTCCAGACGGTATTTTAAAATAATGAGGTAGCACCAATCAATAGCAGATTTACTACCATAATTGGGTTAAACTACATATAACTAATTTACATAATCCATATATCCATAATTGCATGATTCCAAGTAAAACAGATTCCAAAATCTAAGACAAAAAGGAAAGAACATTTTTGAGGAAAAATGTACCACAGAAAACAAGAAATTTTCCTAAGACAGAAAAAAAACCCTCCCTATACTAGAAAACATATTACAGAAAACCTTTCTGGAATAAAACTCAAGCCTGTGTCACTGACGAGATTAGGGTATTTGCTAATTTAACATGTAATCTCAGCCCTGGTCGATATGGCTCAATTGGTTGGGCATCATCCCATGCACCAAAGAGGTCGCAGGTTGGATTCCTGGTCAGGGCACATGCCCGGGTTGTGGGCTGGATCCCAAGTAGGGGGTGTGCAGGAGGCAGCCAATCCATCGATGTATGTTTCTCTTTCTCTCTCCCTTTCCCTTCCTCTCTCTAAAAATCAACAAAATTTAAAAAAAAATAATCATAATAAAAAATGTAATCTCAGTAACAAAATGTTGTAAGTTTAGGATTACAACATGTTTTAAAATTGCATTCAAATGTGGAATAAAATAATTAGCAAGTATAAGCAAGAGTCAGCTTTGGAAATCAGAGCTGTCATTTTTTCCTTTGTCACAGGCAAGGATGAGTTCATTCAAGGTAACCTGCACTATAGCTACTAGCACCAGCTATCACTACAGTGGTAAAGAGAATCCATGAGGCTACAGAATGGAAAACTTAAGAAACTTTCACTCAAGAATCTGGTTTGCCAGCTGGGTCTCCATATTGAGAAAAAGCTAACCTGTCCTAATTACTAAACCCAGATATAACCTCACTCACACTAAACTGATAAATCAATATTATCATTTTATAAAACAATTTCTTTTGATGTCAGTTAATCAATTCACTCCTGAGTAAATCAATATACCTGAATTTCTGGAATAGCAAAGACGGGGCTAGGACCCAAGTACACAGTAACTCCATCAATAGACTACTTACCATAAAGGTATCCAAATACTAAGAAATGCCATTGTTGCCCTGACCAGTTTGGCTCAGTGTTTAGAGCATTGGCCCACATACCAGAAGGGTTTTGGGTCTGATCACTGGCCCTGGTTGGGGCATATGTGGGAGGCAACCAATTGATATGTCTCTCTCACATTGATGTTTGTGTCCCCCGCCCCCCCCTTCCATTCTCTCTCAGAAAAGCAATGGAAAAAATATCCTCGGGTGAGGGTTAACAAACAATAACAACAAATAAAAAGTGCCATCAAGTAACTTGAGAAATCAATCTTAGAGTTGACATAAGATACCCAAAGTCACGTGACTCATGATTTTAATATGGGCGATGTACAGAGAAATCAATGTCTGTGCTTAAAAACAAAAACTCGCACCTATGAAATGAAACAAATAAAAACATCTGACAATCTTGACATGTCTCTCCAGGAGAAAAACTTCTATTTTCCCTGGGAAAAAACTAATTCAGCGATGCACCGGGGCAGGTGAGAGACCAGATGGCTTGAGACAAACACCCCACCTCTGCACCGTCACCCCATGATTCCAGGCAGTTAACTAGAGCCATGTGTGGGAGGAGCACCCACCCACCACCATCGGCCACTTGGTCTTGGTCAGATCAGCACTTGGGCTGGGAGTTGGGTATAAACTTTTTATTTCCTGGCTGGATCTCCCTAAGAAACAGTTACCTTGTGCAGATGAATACTGCATTTCTTTTATGCCGTGATTATATATGTTTTGTTGGTCACTGTTCCTTATAAAGTTTGATAGTAGACACTGTGTTCCATTCCTGGTTACCTCCCCACTGTGCCCTCACAGGAATTTTTTTACTCTGTCACCCTGTGGTGAACACTTACTACATGGCAAGGTCCAGGATGAATTTCTTTTGCATGCAGGATGCAATTAGCGTGCAGGAGCTCATTATTTCTGTGGTTATCTGCCCAGGAGCACCTCCCTCCCCCAGGCTCCCCTGCAGGGATAGCTCAGCCCTGGCCAAGACAACCTAAAGCAATCTGCAGAGACAGTGCTGGGTGGGACATAGTCCGAGAGCCATCATGTGGCCATGAGGCAGAGGGGTTATTATTGCTTGTACGCCCAAGATATCAGAATGGAAAGAAGCCAGGGTGCTTTCAGATTTCCTTAAGTACTAAGCCAATCTCAGAAAGTGCCTCTCTCCCAGCTTCTTGTTTTTCCTTCCAGCTTTCTTAGTAAGTGATATTAAAAAACAAAACAAACAAACACTAGCCTATTGTTTAAGCCACTTTTAGTTGGTTTCTCAGTTATTTTTTGCAGAAAGAATTTTCACTGAAACATTTGGCAATAACCTTATCCTGATCATGATTTACCAAACATGTAAAAGGAGGGTGGAAGGAATAAGAAATAAAAATTCTACCTTTTTGGGGAGGGTGGGAAGAAGGGGTAAGAGATCAACCAAAGGACTTGTCTGCATGCATATAAGCGTAACCAATGGACACAGACAGGAGGGGGGTGAGGGCATGTGCTGGGGGTGGGCGCGGGCAGGGAGAGGTCAATGGGGGAAAACGAAGACATATGTAATACTTTCAACAATAAAGAATTTTTTAAAAAATCCTACCTTTTTGGGGACACATCCGACATTTACCTAGGAAAAAAATTAAAAGGACATATTTTAATAATATTAAACTCAATACAAAACAAACCTGCAAGAAATGAACCCCAAGCATCAACCCAGGAGACTTACTTGAGTTCCAAGTCTTAATCTACAATTATTTAATTTTTTCCAGTGTAGAGCATATGAACATTACTTTTCTTATGTCATGAGGGAGAGAATTTTACTCATCAGCATTTTTTCAAGAAAAGCAGAAGGGGGCGGAGGGGAACAATTCCATTTGCAGGCGCCATGCACTCGGCGACAGTACAGGCTCGGAGATGGCAGAAGCCTGGGCTTGCGCACAACCCAGAGGGAAGCAGAAGAGAAATAGGTCGGAAGTGAGAGGACCTACCAGCTGGATAATCTCAGCAGCTGTTCTAGAGGATTTCTGGGCCCCTGGAGTATCATGGGTAAAAAACCCAGACTGTCCCCTTTGAGAAAACCCCTGGTGGAAATCTACATTATTTTTCAGGACCAAAGGATGATAATCAAGCATTAAGGGTCATCTATGCTATTAAGTCTTACATACTTACTAGAAACAGATCATAAATTTGATTCTCAGAATTCTAGCAGCCAACACACAAGAAAAAGCACAAATACTTGTAAGACTTCTTGTAAAAAAAAAACAACAAAAAACTAATTGTTTAAGAAAATAGCTATCCATGCCCATTAGACGAGAGATAAGTTACTCCCAAGGGTTCTTGTAAACAAGCTGTGATATATGCTTACACACAAACTTTTGTTTATATCTGTGTACTTCCTTTTGATCACATCCTAAAAGTAATAACTTTTTTTTAACCTGGGTTAAGAACAAGATTGATTAAAACTGCCTTGAAAGCCATTTTGATCAGACTGGCTATCATCAACAAATCAACGAACGACAAGTGCTAGAGAGGATGTGGAGAAAAAGGAACACTCATGCACTGCTGGTGGGAATGCAGACTGGTGCAGCCACTATGAAAGACAGTATGGAGTTTCCTCAAAAAGCTACAAATGGAACTCCCATTTGACCCTGTGATCCCACGTCTAGGAATATATCCCAAGAAACCAGAAACACCAATCAGAAAGGATATATGCACCCCTATGTTCATAGCAGCACATTTTATATTA